CTAAAATGCCTCTTTTATGTTCCAGAAGCCAAATCTGCATTCTTTTGAGTGGTGTAGAATGTCAGTACAAATGCTCTATCTATGCTGAACCTGGTGGAAAGGGGGAAAAAAAGCCACATTCCACTTCTTTATTTAGAATTTGCTTTGAGAACAGCGAGCACTATTTGAAAGGTCATCCCATTTCAAGTAGCAGATGGATAGGAAAAAAAAGACTGGCTTTTACAAATAGTTTAATTGAATTCTCCTTGCCATTTCTGCAGGCAATTCGGGATATTTTTTAAAGCATTGATCCATAATTATCTTTCAGAGTGGTTAGTATTGTTAGACAGATGTGTAATTCTTCATGTATGAGGGAGCAATATACCATCCATTTTACCTGTTTCATTGTCTTTTCCTTTCCTGTGCAAACAAATGCACATTAAAAAAAAGGCAAATCATTGCTTTGAGAAAAAGAGCAGATTAAAATTTTTTTCAGATTTGTTTGTGACTTGAAGCTCTCCTTAAAGGCATGGCTGTATTTATAAAGGTCAGCTTCTTTGCCCTCCTATAAATAAATTATAATTTGCATCTATGTAGTCTACTTTTGTTTATAGTCCCTGGACACAGAATGGGGGGTGGGGGCGGCAGTCACAACCTTGAGACCCAAATTTATCATATTAATAGGATATAAAACTGGAATTACCAAGACTTCAAAGAACACATTGTATCTGTGGTTTATTTTGCTCTTAAAAAAAAAAGTATTTGTAATCTAACTGCTATTGGGGAAAGTTTGCCAGATAAAAATAAGAATGCCCAGTTAAATTTCAATTTCAAATAAATAGTGAATACTTTTTTGGTATAAGTATCACCTATGTAATAGACTCGGGAGTCACCTCAGAATAGAATATCCTATTTAAATAAAATTATGAAATATAATTAATATAAAGAAAGTATATAGAACATGGATGTGCAGCTTAATGAATAATTACAAATGAACATCCATGTCAAGATTTACTCAGGTCAAGACGTGGAATATTTTCAGTGTCCCAAGAGTCCCCTGAAAAACCTCCTAATCTTAGTCTTCTCTCTGACCACATTAGAGGTAGTCACTATCCTGTCCTTTGTAATAATTATTTCCTTGCATTCCTTCATAATTTTATCATCAATGGCTGTACTTCTAATCACTATAAATTTTGCAAATTTTAAATTTCGTATGAATGGAATCATGCTACATTCATCTTTAAAGGTAAAATATAATAATTCAGTGTAATTTGGGGCAAATACTAGTGATAATCTCCATAAAATTATGACAACCCTGTTAAGCTCAAACGGACTTGGGTTTTCTATGTAGCAAAGACAGATAGGTAGTTATTTAAAAGAAATCTTAATGAGTTCACTGATTTAATGGTGCCAAAAATATTTGCATTTTTAAAATCTCTCCTCAGACTGTTTGTTCTCTCAAGCCTCATTGATTTTCCAGAATTTGGGGCCAATCCAGTGGCATTTTCAGTAGGTTTCAGTTTCATTGATATCAGTGGAGTAAATCACATCACCAATCTATCTAAGGTCATAATGTTCAGCCATAAATGGATAAAAAGCCTTGTGATTTATTATTCATGTAGATAACAATACTCAGAATGACTAAGGAACATTCCCTTTTATGCCATAAATTTTGTCTGGTGACATTTAAAAAATGTCTTCTAGAGCCCAGACCTCTGATCCAAGGACTCTTTACTTTTGTTAATGGCACCATATTTTGCTTTCCTCATTTCTCCTTTATCTCCTTAATGCTGAAGAAGGCACATTTTCCAAGTTGCTTTGAAGAGCAACCATCATGAGAGCAAAATTAATAAAAAGCAATTTAAAAACAGATTTCTTAATGTTCTAGGAAATAGGCAATTTTGCACGGCAAGCACTTGAACTCAGGGGTGATTTATTATTCATTTTTCTGTGGTAAATACTCATAATTTGCATGTTAAATTAGAATTATTGAGATTTCTGTTTACCCTCAAGAAGTTTGGCCATGTATGTCTTTAAAATTTGAATTTACTGAAATTCACTTTTCAAGAGACAGAGTTTTCTACCTAGAAGAAACCTTGAAAATAGTCTGGTTAAATTCTCTAAAAAAAAAAAATATATATATATATATATATAAACATATATGTTTATATATATATATATATATATATGTTTATATATATATATAAACATTGAATGTTTTGTAAAAGACTAGAGTGATACAGAGATTTTATGAGGGCATACTGGTATAGAACTATGGTTTGCTTCCTTCTCTCTTTTTCTCCTGTCTCCCTCCCTCCTCCCCTGTCTCCCCCTCCCTTACTTTTTATTTATTTATTTATTTATTTATTTATTTATTTATTTATTTATTTATCTTTTAACGCAGCCGGATCCTTTACTCAAAGAAAATGTCTCCCATAGTTTACTTTGTTTGAATGGAGAGTGTGGCTGGGCTCTGTCTTCCTTATCTCCACTCTACCCCATGGGCCCCCAGGCTACCACTACAGAGCCCTTGGGGTTCCATGATCACAGTTTTAAAACTGAAGAGAGCTGAATAATTTATTTATGAACACATTATGTGACAGACACTCTTTTAAACATTTTTTGCAAGCTGTAACTCATTCTTCACAATAACCTTGATATGGTTATTTATTATTATTAGTCTCATTGTACAGTTGAGGAAAGTGAGGCATAAAGGACTTAAATAAGTTACCTCAGACCACACAGCTATTAATTGACAGAGCCTGGACAGCCCTGTTCTTACTCAGAAGGTTTTGCAGCTTCTCCCTAGGAGCAGCAGTTATATTCAACTATTACTGGGAGCTTTACATGTATTATCAAAGCTCATGCTCCCAAAGTAGCCAGTGAGGTAATTATCCTCAGCTGACAGATGCAGGAAATGAGGCATAAGGAAGTTACATCACATTTGTGTAAGGGGCAAGGCCAGAATTTGAACCTTCACAGCTTGACTTTTAGAGCCCATGCTTTTCACCATTCGTTTCATAAGCTCTCATAAAAATGAAAATACTTGTTTGTTTTTAAAAAGTTATGATGCTTTTCATTTTCTTTCATGTTGGGTTCACATTGGCTAACACTACCAAGAGAATATCTATATTTTGAAGAGCCCACCAGTTAGCTCTACCAGGACAGGATCATACCTAAAGAAAATTTAGTATCTGAGTGTTCCTTACCCATGTCCTATTGGGTCTCAAATTTGCCTTCTCGTCCTTCCCAAATTAGCCTGCTTAATTTTGTCCACATTTTTCGCAGCTCTACTAAGCAACAAATGCCATCAAGTAATCATACTTATCTGACAAAGACTAATGGCTTTCCTCCTTGGTCAGTCCATCTATCCTTTGACTTAATCCTCCTGGAGATACAAAGTCTTTGTCTTGTCTGATTGCAGTGGTAGAAATGTTATACCACATTGCAGGCTAATAGCAGAGGATGCTTCTTTTCAGTCAGTGCTGGTCCAGCTAAAGGACTATGCATCTAGAATAGTTGTGGCCGGCATGCAAGTATAAGGTGATTCTTATAGTCGGAGCAGTGAGAAGCCTGATGGCCTAAGATCTGGTACACGTGGATGAATGAGTTTATGGTGTTCTTTAAATTATGTTGTGCTTTGGCTCTTTATGGGCAGTGCAGAAAGTTTGCAGGACAAGCAAGGTCATGTGAAGAGTATTGGTTGCCATGTGGCCTTCAGTACTGGCAAGGTAGAAAGCAGTGCTGTGTTAACTCTGTAATAATGTGTTTCTTTTAGAAAGGTATAGCTTATTCCTTAGAACTTAATATGCTTTTGTCAATTTCCTCTTAATATTTACCTATGACTTTAGCCTCTTGAGTTAAATCTTGGGTAAACACAGTGATTTCCAGAGACCAGTGAGTAGAGAATACCTACTTGGGCAAATCAAAACATATGGAAATCTCACTCCTAGTAACCTCCTATCCAGAGAGAAACATTTGAAAATGTGATCTTTTACTTCTTCCCCAAGGAAAAGTAGTGCAGCACAAAATTAAAATAGATAGGCCATGGTTCTACCTTATTTAAAGGAAGAAGAATTCTTACCATTAGAAAAACATGCTCACTTTATATAATTTCTTAAGTTTGCATTCACTCACAAGTGAGTGAGTTAGTAGGAATAGCATCTTATCCAAAAAGAGATTGACGAATGCATGAAATTAAATTGATACCTGGATAGTAGGCTCTAATACAACTGCTCCCAATTTGCTATTAAAATACCCAAGAATATATAGTTTTACTACCAAAAGCCAATCATGCATATATATACATATATTTGTTTTCATATTCTTTTTCATTAAAGGTTATTACAATATATTAAACATAGTTCCCTGTGCTATCCAGAAGAAATTTGTTTTTTATGTATTTTTATATATAGTGCCTAACATTTGCAAATCCCCAACTCCCAAATTTATCCTTTCCCACTCCCTTTCCCCCATTTGTATGTCTTTGTTGAAAAACTGCTTGTTTAGGTCTTCTGCTCATTTTTGGATTAGGTTGTTTGGTGTTTTGTTATTAAGTTGTATGAGCTATTTATATATTCTGGAAATTAAACCTTTGTCAGTCGCATCATTTGCAAATATTTTCTCCCATTCCATTGGTTGTCATTTTGTTTTGCTTATGGTTTCCCTTGCTGTGCAAAAGCTTATAAGTTTAATTAGGTCCCATCTGTTTATTTTTGCTTTTATTTCTATTGCCTGGGTAGACTTCCCTAGGAGAACATTGCTAAGATTTATGTTAGAGAATGTTTTTACCTATGTTTTCTTCTAGGAGCTTTATCATGTCTTATCTTATATTTAAATCTTTAAGCCATTTTGAGTTTATTTTTGTGTATAATGTGAGGGAATGTTATAATTTCATTGATTTACATGTGGCTGTCCTGTTTTCCCAGCACCACTTGCTGATGAGACTGTCTTTTCTCCATTGAATATTTTTGCCTCCGTTGTCGAAGATTAATTGACAGTAGGTCTTTGGGTTTAAAAACCAGTTCTTATAGTCAACCTATTCTAAATTCCTGTAGAGGGGTCTATTTAAAGTAGAAGTTTGGAGGAACTAGAATGAACCATTTCAACTAACGGTTCCCTTATGCTATGATTAGAAGAAGGAAAGCCCTTTAATCTTTTGGCTGCAGTCATTCCCCTGGTTCAGAATTATGCAGAGAGTAATTACAAAAATAAATGAAAATTCCTATACAATGTAAGCACTTTTTTTGAAGTACCACTGTTAATACAGACTTTTATTTCTAAATTCATGTGGAGAATGCAGATAGTGATTGACCAAAGATATGGTCATGTATTAGTTTCTTATGGCTTGTGTAATACATTACCACAAATATAGTGGGATCAAAATAACACAGATTTATTATTTTAAATTTCTGGAGGTCAGAAGTCTGAAATAGATTTCATCAGGATAAAATCAAGGTGTCAGGGGGCTGAATTTCTTTATGGAGTCTCTAGGGGAGAATGGGTTTCCTTGTCTTTTCCAGCTTCTGGAAGTTTCCCACATTCCTTGGCTTGTGGTCCTCTTCCATGTTTAAAGCCAGGAGTGGCCAATGAAGTCTTTCTCATATTGCACCACTCTGACTTTTCTACCTCTTTCTCTTCTTATTTAAGGACCCTTATGATTACATTGGGTCCACTTGAGTAATAATGGATAATCTCTCTATTTTAAGGCTAGATGATTAGCAACTTTAATTCCATCTGCCAACTTAATTCTCCTTTGCCATGTAACTTAACATATTCATAGCCTCCAGGGATTAGGATGTAAACATCTTTGGAGAGGTCATTATTCTGCCCAGTACTTGGGTCAGTAATATGTTTAGAAGTATATTTGTCAATATCTGTCATAGTTAAAGCACCTTAGCTATGCTGAAGGTAAAGGAGGGGGTTGGGGATTCTTGCGGTTTTTTTGTTTGTTTGTTTGTTTTTAATTCAGATTGGACATAGATCTAGGCAGTGGTGCTAGAAGATTCTACATCAACTCAAGGAGCTCCACTAGATGGAAAATCTGCTAGAGGAGTAGAATTGGGATATAAGTCCTGCAAACTAACTTACAATCCACCTTTAGGGGATTCAAGTAACACATAAGACAGTCATCTTTTTCTTGGCAGATACTGGCTCTTTCATGATAAACTAAAAATTAAAAAATCATGATAGACAACGAAAAACGAAGTGTCAGTAACAGTTGACCTCTGAGGATGATTTGCCACAGGAATATGAAAGAATTTTTGACCCCTGAGGATGAATTGCTACAGGAATATGAAAGAATTTTTAGAAGTTTGGCATCATCAATAACATCAGGAAACAGAGAGAGAATAAGCTTAGATTAAAAGAAAGCATGACGATTTGGAAAAGGAGGCAGGTCAGTCAAAAAATCATGGAAAAGAAACCAGAATGCTGTACAATTAAAATCTGCATTAGAAGATGAAAAGAAGTCAGCATTTATATATATATATATATATATATATATATATATATATATATATATATATAAAATGTTGAAGGAAAATTGATAAGTTCTTTCAAAGTGAAGAAGAAAAGAACAATAAAAGTTAAATTAATGAGATAGAGAAGGTTAAAAGTATAGAAGACAGAGATCATAGGCTGAAACACTAGATATAACCTAAGAATTATAGATGTGCTTGAGGCAGCAATAATTGGAACACAAGTAATAATCAAAAATTAAAATCTCTTCTGAGTGAAAATATAAACAAAAACAAAAAAGCCTCAGCATGCAAATTGAAAGGGCTTTCCATACCTCAGACAACACTGATGAAAAGGGTTCCATACCATTACAACTTGGCAATTTTTTAAACCTTAAAAGAATAAAGGAAAAAAAAAATCCTTTAAGAATGCAGGCAAAGAAAACAGTTTACCTTATAAAGAGACTGAAAAATCAGACTGGCCTTTTTTTTTTTTTTCCTTAAATGTCACACTGTATAATAGGTGCTGTTGCTATAAAATCTACAAAAAAATTGCTTAGAACAGTTTGCAAGAGTGTACTCTTGAAAGATAAATATAGCCAGGTTGTCTTTCACTTGTAAAAGTAGCAGAAAGAAATTCTCAAATATGCAAGATAAAAGAAAACATAAAACCTCTTTAATAGGAAAATGGCTTAAGGATATAGGCCAGGTCAGTGCTACTCAAAGTGAGGTTAAGGGTCCAGTAACATCAGCAATATCCAGACACTAGTTAGACGTGTGGATTGTCAGGTCCACCCTAAACCTCCTGAAGCTAAATTTTTGTGGGTAAACTGTAGCTATCTTTCTGTGTTTTTTCTTGTTTTTCTAGGAGATTTTTACATGCACTTAAGATTTAAGAAGCACTGGTTCAGGTGACTGAGAGAGAAGTCAAATTTAAGAATTCAGTAACAGAAAGAAATGATATTAAGAAATTGACCATTAATCATGCAACCAATTAAAAGTAAGATTTAAACAATTGTAACTTTATTATAATGCTGAATAGAGGTGTAAAACTATACTTTTGAAAGATGAAATATGTAATATAAAATACTTTAATAAGTATTAAAATTTTAATATTTAAAAATTTAAATTTTTATGAATTTATATAAAAATTTAAATAAATTTAAATAAAATATTTAAAATATTAAATATTTTAATATTTAATACTCAGTAATAATAAATTCCAAGATCATATTTACAGAGACCGGAAATTGTGATAAATCCTTAGTTTTTTCTAGGGATAGACTCAACAATTTCAAGTATTCAAAAGTTTACAGCCCAATATATCCTTTATGCCAATAAAAATAAATTAGGGTAAACTTCCCTATTAGGAAAAAAAGGCAAATAATTTGACCAAATATTCCATCTGAATATTGATGTTCAGCAAGAGCATATTATATAATTGTTAAAAGCCATGGGTTTGAGTAAGTCTTACACTGCTGCAGATTACCTGAGTGATACTGGGAAATATATTTGGTTTTGAATTTCCTTACGCATAAAATAGGAATGACATTTTCTATGTACCTTACACATTGAGAAGAGCAAATGTGAATATGAGAGCATTTTGTGAAGCTGAATCTCATTATAAAATAATCATTAAACTAGTCTAATAAAATACAAAAGTCTTCATTTCAGGTAAGAAGCAAAATTTGAAGATGGTTACTGAGAAGAGGTACACCTAAAACAAAGTGACTTACTAAGATAAAAAAAAATGCATGGGCAAGAGTTATCAGGCAAAAGCAAAATGAAACAAAAAGTAATCTTGGCAATATTTAGACGAAATAGACTCAAAGACCATAAAAACATTAAGTTTGATCCAGAAAGTTATATTTCCTTTCAAAGAGTTAGACTTCACAATGAAGGTAAGACTGTCTTGAATTTTCAATAACACATTAATAGCCACAAAATGCATGAAACAAAGCTGCTAGAAATATAAGGAAAAATTGATAGAAATAGAATTGTTGTCTGAGACTTTAATACACTTTTATTGATCTTCCATGGATCAGATAAACACAGAATACATAGAGTATTTTAATAATCTAATAAAGCTGATTTAATAAATATTTAATTAACTTTGTTCCTGAGAAATAAAAAGCATACTTTAGGGAGTCATGAAACATTTGGTATAAAATTGGTCATATATTATACCTCAAAGAAAACCATATTAAGTTATGAAACATAAAATGTTTATAGGCTACATGCTCTGCCTACAATGAAATAAAACTAGAAATGAATAACAAAAGGTTAAATGCAAAATTCAGCAACTTGGAAAACAGCAATACTAATAACAAAAAAATAAAAACTTCTCCTAAAGAAAACTCTAGGTTCAAAGAGGGAAGCAATTCTAGTATAAGAATCTGTTAGAAAAATGAGAACTGTATGCATCTACATTTTTAAATGACCAAAGCTGTATTTAGCAGAAAATGAATAGCCTTAAGGGTTTTCATTATTAAAAGAGAGTAACAAAATCTTTCTGCATAAAATAGAATAACAAATTAATATAGTTTCTTCTTTCCTATTAAATAAGACAAGAAACAAATAATACTCAGTAAGTTTGGAATAGGATGAACATACAAAGGATATTACAGGATATCTATCAGAAACCTATAGCAAAGTACCCATTGGAAATATTCCCCTTACTGCCACCAAAGAGATGAGTGTGCTTGCTCTTACTGTATTTTAACACTGTACTATTCATTATACAACGTGTCCTAGCCAATGGAATAAGGTGATAAGATTCAATATGAGCTATATATACTATATATATCCTGTATATATAGGAAAGAAGAGATAAACCTGTACTATTTAAAAAGGTATAATTATCTGTTTTAAATATCCAAGAAACCAAACTGAAAAAAACCATTGAAACTGATAGAGTTCAATAACATAGCTAGATGTAAGATTCCATTAAAATATCATTAAGTTTCTTGTACATTTATAAGAACCACAACTATAAGATTCATAGGTAAACTAAAAGGAACTAACAGTAACTACATAAAAAATGTTGAACTCTACCAAATAGGTCGATTCTGGAGGTGAATTGACACCTGGAAGAAGGGTTTTGCATGGGTTAATTTCCCATCCTGAGGTCAGGCTGTTATACTCAGTGCCTCATGGGGTAGCTGAAACTCTAATAGGAAATCCATAGCCTTTCAATCTGCAAGAACCAGAGGGCACAGTCTGGGGCAACATAGCCTTTGGAAAGTGAGAGGAATCTCAGAACAAAGGGAGTCAGAAGGGGGAAACCAAAAATTCTTAGTATAATTTCTGGTCAAATCACTGGCTGATCCTTGGAACATAAATAGACAGGGCAGATTACCACCAGTCAGTGAATTTGATGATAGATCAATAAAAATTTTCTCTGTGAAGAGAAGAGGGGGAAAAAAAGAGAGAGAGAGAGATTGAGAAAAAAAGCCCAGGATTTCAGGGTCCTGTGGGATAATAGCAAAATTTTAACATATAGCTAACTAGTGTCCCAGAAGGAAAGGAGATAGAGAATGGGGCTTAAAGCAAATTTGAAGATATAATGGCTCCAAACTTCCCAAAGCTAGTGAAAGATATATACTTAACATATTCACAACACGGAGACACAGCATAATCAACATGTTGAAAAGACAAGACAAAAACTTGACATCAGCCAGGGAAAAAAAAAATAGTATATACAAGGGAACTGTATTTTAAAACACTACCAGCCTATCTTCAAAAAGTATAAAAGCTTGAAGACCATGGGACAATATCTTTAATGTGCTGAAAGGAAAAGAAACCATCAATCCAGAATTCCATATCCAATAAAACTATACTTCAAGAATGGCAGCAATATAAAATAAACTACAAGGATACCAAATGGGGAATATAGCCAATATTTTACAATAACTATAAATGGAGTATAAGCTTTAAAAGTTGTGAATCTCTATGCTGTACACCTGAAACATTTTGTTATATAATATTGTAAATCAGCTATACCCCAATTTAAAAAAATAAAAGAATGGAGACAAAATAAAGTCCTTTTCAAATAAAGAAAAACTGAGAAGGTTTATTGTCAGCAGACAACTTATACTACAAGAAATGTTAAAAGAAGTTCTTTAAGATGGAAAGAAATAAGAGCTAGAGTCTAAGATAAGATGGAGAACTTAGATAAGAATGGAGAACATGAGAAATCATGAATAGTAAAGTAAATATAAAAGCTCATTTTTTTCCTCTAAATTTCTTTTAAATACTCTAAGTCAAAACAGTAATGTCATTTGTGGGATTTATAATACATGCAAATTTATAATTCAAATGACAATTCAAATGAATGGGGAGGGGGTTTGTAAATAGTACATACATTGGCAAAATTTCTATATTTTATGTAAAATAGTATAGTATTAACTCTAGGTAGATTGTGAAAAGAAAGATTACATTGAATTCCAGGTAATCTGTGTAAATGAGAGTGCTGGTTCCTAGAATGAATGAGAAAATATGTGTACAGAAAAGAACTTTGCAGATCCCTACTGACCCACATGTTAGGCAGGTAGAAACATCACTAATTTCTGTTTGGACTCTACATCAAGCAACTTGGTTTTGACTAACCATACTGAGTGATCTAGGACAATTTAGAAGACATAGCCTGATCTCCTTCTCTTGTCCATCTTCATTTCCTAAGTAATAGCATACAGCAAGTCCAGAAAAAAGAAAGAGGATGATATTTAGCATTTTTTACGCCCTATACAGACTTACGGGGACATTTAAGAAACCACTATTAATGGGGAAAGATACAATAGTTATTTCTAGGTTGCCTTGGTGATCTAGTGTTTTTCTTGAACTTGACTCAGGAAGCTCAGGTATTGGAAAGAAAGCCAAGAGTACATGATGGAATTTGTTAATGGACAGCTCAGCCTTTTCAGAATCTCCTTGGTAAAGGTTCTGGAGCCGGGGGAGCAGAATACTGACCTTGCTTGGAGGTAGAGCAGACTGAGAGGACGCTGAGGTATGGGGGGGACAGAGATGACAGGTCACCTGATGTGATGCAAGACAGCACATGGAACAAAAAGATCATGATCTCTGGAGTTTGTGCATCCTATATCTGAACATATATACATGCCTGCTGTTTGCCCTTGAGCCAGTGTGTCAGGCTGAAAGCTGGTCCCTAAAAAAGTATTCATGTCAAATTCCTGAGACATGTGAATGTGACCTTATTTGGAAAAAGGATCTTTGTAGGTATAATTAAGTTAAAGTTCTTATGATGAGGAAATTATTCTGAATTATTCCTGGGGACCCTAAGTACTTATAAGGTATTCTTATAAGAGAGGGGCAGAGTGAGCTTTGAGACACCCAGAAGAGAAGGAGATATGACCTTGGAGGCACTGGAGTAATGTGGCCTTAAGCCAAGAAATACCAAGAACCATCAGAAGGTGGAAGAGGCAAGGAAGGGAATCTTTTCTAAAGTCTCTGGGGTGAGCAGGACTCCACCATCACCTTGATTTTGGACATCTGGCCTTCTGAACTTTGAGCATATAAATTTCTGTTGCTTTAAGCACCAAGTTTGTAGTAATTTGTTATAGTTACCATAAACAGGAAAAGAATACAGCCTGCTACAGAACTCCTTAAATCTCAGTGCCCTCATCTCTAAAATAGGGTCATACTCGCTATCTTTTAGTGTCGTTGTCAGGATTAAGTGAGAAAATGTGTAAAAATAGAAAAGGAAGGAAAGAAGCAACCAAAGGGCAAAAGATAAGGAAAATGCTAGGAAAAAATATACACATCCCTTGTTTCATGTGAGTAATTCGTACCTGATGATCAGATGTTTCGCCCAATAATAGTTTCCAGGAGACAATGAGAAAAACGATAATGTGTTATATGTCCATCCAACCCCCCAACCAATTCCCTGAAATGTAAGTAAACCATGGTAAAATGCACATATTTGAACAAGAAGCTATTATATTAGGATTTAAAATACTTAAAAAAAATTGTATCCTTGTTCACCTAACAATTAACATGGTTTGTTAAAAACATTTGTTTTGTGTGTAGCGACTTTTCTTGCTTGCTTTGCTTCCTTCTCCACAATTGTACTCACTATTTTCTTAAGTCTTTGGGGACTCCAACAGTAGGCAAGAGAATAGCTAAATATGAAAGGCACTGCGGAAATGTTTTCAGTTCAAGCAGCCACCGGCAGAGCGTGGCTCACAGTGATGCTACGATGGCCTGTTAGCACCAGCGGCCTCTGAAATGCGTAGCCCTGTGTTGACACTCGGCGAGCTTTTCAGAGTACCTACACATGGTTCTCGATTCTGTTGAGCATTATTTGGAAAGTGTCTTGAGAATTTTCCTTTATATCATTTTGTCGAAATTTTTCTATCAAGTTTTGGTGTCATGAATCTACATTTTTTGCCAAATGAACACTTGCATAAAGTATCTATTATGAAGTTTGGATTTTAAGAACCAAGAGGCATTTTACCAGGAAAACTTTAATCATGGTGATATTCTGCAGGCTATGCCTGTATTTGTAGCATGTTTAACAGCAGAAAATAAACATGAAATATGTAAAGAGTTACTATAAAGAATCAGAAAAATGAATAGAAAAATGGGTAGTATTCTGTACAAACATAAACTGGAAAAGTAACAGAAGTGGCCAATTAATGAATGAAAGACTGCAACCTAAAAAGTAATCAGGAAATGTAAATTAAAATCACCATGACATAGCTTTTCACATCCATGCAACTGGCAAAATAAATCTTCAAATCTAATAATACCAAGGCTTGATGAGCTTGTGGAGAAATGAAATTTTCATTCATAGGGCAAACTGGTGCAGCCACTATGGAATATAGTGTGGTAGCCTCCAGAAAGGCTGAAGGCATGTGCATCGCCCATGACTCAGGTGCCCAAGGAGATGTCTACAAGATACTTAAAACTGCATTTTTTTTGGTAATTCAAGGAAAAATAAATACTCATCAATGGCTAATAAATAAATGTTATTAAATATTTGTACAAAAGATGGTTTTTGAAAAACAATGAATGAGAACAATATATTCACAAAGTTAAATCTCAAAAATATTATTGAGTAAAAAGTTTTACAAGACAAGTTGCATAAGAATGCAGTAACGATTATGCATAAAGCTAAAGTATACAAAACAAAATCATTTTTAACTACTTGGCAAGTGTTAAATATAATGATACCACTACTTAGACCTGGAGATGGTAAAGTCTTCTTGTGGTGAAATTATGCATAGGGACAGCTACCTAGAAAAGAAAGTTTTTACATTTTTTGATACAGTAATCTCATTTCTAGAAATCCTTCAAAAGGAAATAGAGATGTAGACAAAAATTATTATAATTGTGTATTAATATATTAAATATTCTATTCAATTATCTTTCAGTGAATTAGGGAATTAGGTTATGGTACGTAAGGTAGCATTTGAATATCTTTTTAATATTATACTTAATGACATTGGAAAATACTTACAATATAATTTTCAGTGAAAAATAATATAGAATTGCTCTGCTTATGATCTATATTTTGTTTAAAAGTCAACAAACAGTAAAAAGTGAAGGCACACATATCATTAAGTCTGGGAAATTCAAAACGTTATTAGTATTTATCTCTGAGTGATAGAATAATACATGATTTAAAAGATGCTTTGATGTAATTTTCAAATTGGGTGCAATGAGCAGATATTGTTTCCATAATTACAATTAACAGCTTCATTAGCCTCTTTCTAAAATGAGTAGGTCTTACTGAGGATTGTGGTCGTTTTTACCCACTGGACAGAATCTTATACTCTGTTTACTCCTATATTGTCAACTTCTGCCTATGCTTGAGATAGAGGTTGGAATTCTGTATGAAAGTGCTTAAAGGGGCGATAGGAGGTAATCTAAGTCATACGGGAATTGTAAGCATTTAATGAGGTAATGAATGAAAAGAGCCTAACACAGTTCCTGACACAAGTCAGTACCTAATCATTATCATTATTGTCACTGACTGATTATTGCTGTATTTTTACGTTACAGATGAAAGTTTACACGTCATTTCTTTTTTAGGACCCAAAACAGATTTCCATATTACCTACCAGTACCAGAAACAGTATGATATTAACTGTGCTAGTCATATGTCTGAGACAGGAAGAGTTTGGGGGAAGAGCAGAAAAAAAAAGTAATTAATTCTTGTTCTTAAAAAGAAAGGGTCCTCTGTCTCCATTATAGACATCTGCCATGCACAGGCTGGAGCAACTCCTTAGGCAGAATCAGAGACACTTGGAAACAGTAAATCTTTTGTAATTTAGAGTCATAATCTATTTATCCCCCCAACCCTGGGTTTTCTTGTGAATAACTGATTCCATGTGTACAGCTTGAGCAGAAAGGGCAGGATAAGGGCCTGGAAATTGTTAAACTCTACATATGATGGTACTTTGGAGACCTCCTTATAGGAAAATCTGTCAGTTACGTGGCCAATCAAGTTGCTGGGTGGATACTTGCTAATTGTACATTCCATTAAATGGTGATATATAATACACCTTGTAATTCTGCAATAAATCTGTTTTTTTCCTCTTACTTTCCTGCTCTGATTGGCATCTATGATAACATACAGTTGCTAGATGAAAACAGAATTGTGTTGCAAAAGAGACAAATGATTTAGTGAATGTGATTTATATGCCAAAAAATGTACATTAGCAGGTTTTATGATACGTGACCTTGAAGGGAAATATGGTGAATTTGCATCTGATTTAGGTCTTCTCTAAACAACTTAAAAAAGAGGCAAAAACAAGCATAAGACAGTTTTATCTCTTTGGATGGTATAAAAGGGTTCTTGCTGGGAGACTTGTGATAGTGACACCTCCTAGTAATTTCCTGTGTTTGAAGTGTATAGTTAAGGAATTATAGGGAATGGTCATGATCCAAACTTATTTGGTCTCAAAGCTTGTCCAGGAGAGATTGTAGCCCTTTCTTATCTTGCCTGGCATGTATGTAACTGCAGATATCATCTCTTTTAAGGTCTTGGATAACTCATTTTGGTTTCGTTCTCTGGGTGACATCTTTTTGCCTGTCCTGAGTCCTCCAGTCTATTACGGTAGACTATACGTTCCGTAATGAAACTGTTTCTAACTTATTTACCTCTGTACCCTAGTCTGGTAGCACTCAAAAAAAAAAAAGACGTTGAATAAATAATGAATCTTTTGGTTGTATTATCTATCCATCTAACCATTTATCCATCCATCCATCATTCCATCCATTTCTCAAGGTTGCTGTTTTCTCAAGGTTTCTGCTGACACAAAGCGTCAGCTTTTGTTTCCTTGATTTGGAAAGTGATCGTTTAAGTTCACTGCCGCTGAGGGACTGTCAAATCGCTGCTATTCACATTTGCTTCTCTTAAACATATTTAATTTGTGACAAGTTGGGAGCCACCTTCTCTTTTCTGAGGTGATCTTTGAAGAATGATGTAATTAACTACAGGCTGTTTAGATTGTTTATCTGTATTTAAAGCCCTAGCCAGGTTTGTCTTTTGTCTTTAAGACAAAAATCCATAAATAAAAAGTTGTCATTGAACATTCCTAAACAAATACCCTCCCCAACTTCGAAAAAGGAACACTGCTAGATTTATTTGAGACTTCTTTCTGAGAGTTCATTTAGCTGTAGGTTCACCTTTATTCAAACATGTTGAAGTTAAAAATCATATAAGGGAAGTTTATTCTAACCCAGATGCGTTTGGAAGCCAGTGTTATTACTAAATGCTTTTGGTTTTGATAAGCTCTTTGATGAGATCAGATTCTATCACAAAGAAAGTGTGGTTCATTGTGAAAGAGTGTAAACTGCTGCTGGGGTGCAGTTGTCCCTGGTATCTGTGGAGCATTGCTTCCAGGACCCTCGCTCAGATACACAAATCCATTCATGCTCAAGTCCCATATAAAAAAATATATTTGCGTATAACCTACACACACACATCCTCTCACATACTTTACTTCTTTTTAAAAATTTTTTTCAAAACGAATTTTGTTGTGGGGAAGGTAATTAGTTAGGTTTATTTATTTTATTTTTTTAATGGAGGTATTGGAGATTGAACCCCGGACCTTGTATGTGCTAGGCATGCACTCTACCACTGAGCTCTGCCCTCCCCCCTCTCTCATATACTTCAAATAATCTCTAGATTACTTATTATACCTAATACAATGTAAATACTACATAAATAATTGTAAATACAATGTAAATGCTGTGTAAATAGTTGCTGGTGTGCAGCAAACTCAAGTTTCGCTTTTTGGAATTTCTGGAATTTTTTTGAATATTTTCAATCCATGGTTGGTTAAATCCTGAGATGCAGAACCTGTGAACACAGAGGACCAATTGTATAAGGTACCACCAATACATAATTACCTCCAGGAAAGGACTAGCTGTGGTGTGCTGCTGAACGCTGATGAGTTAGACCAACTGAAATGTTTATGTATTCTCCAAATCTCACTGTAAAACTTATCCTACCCAACTGACCTTCAGAGCTTTTGTAAAGAAAAATTATGGAGTAATTTGAATTTCCTCCCTCTCCTCATCTGGCTTTCTCTGTTCCTGGGGCAGAGATATTAGCTGTCAATCAGACATTCAAGAACTTGGGGAAAGGAGTGAGAACAGGAAGCCTGGAAAATTCATTTGATAAGTACTATCCATCATTCACGTGTACTGTGTAGCAGCAGGTAGTCGGAGAAATAGGGTCATTTGTAAAATTCAGGTATTGGAGATGGTAGTGAGGAAAATATTAAAGCATTTTAGTTTTCAAAGGTGGTGGATGTAGAGAATTAAGGACTTCTGTCGCTAGCCACAATGAAGTGTCTGGTACAGTCTTGACCTCCTTTTATGAAGAACTATAAAATTAAATTAAATGTATGAGGCAACTATTTTCAGGAATTGGCTAACAGGCAATGCAGGACTTTGATCTTTAGCAGAAAGTAACACTGGAAACAGGCCTTGCATTCACCTTGGTTTTCTGACTAGAGGTGCATTCACTGGACCAGAGAGTAGGCCTTATATTTCACTTATCAAGAATGCATTCAAGTTGGAAGAATTATAGTCTCCCTCACACCATACGCTAAAATTAATTCCAGCTGGGTTAAGGCAATAAATGTATAAAAATCAATCATTAGAAAACCAGAATAGAAATGAGCATTTATCCCAACTGCAGTGAGAGGAGACCCTAAGGCAAA